CTCAGATGCTCTGTCTCGGGGGGGTTGGGGCTTTCTTTATTAGTGTCCGTGGCACTATCCTGCCCAGGTAGGCGGCAGTCTAGTCACTATTTGCCTGCCGAGGCTCTGCCCTGCTGATGTGTTGTGGGCCCTGTTGCTGCAGGCTCTGCCCTGCAGCCACAGGCTCTGCGGCAGGCTCCGCCCTGCTGCCACCAGCTCCGCCCTGCAGTGGAGTCTCTCTGTTATCACGTGTTGCCTCGGCAACGGCAGGCTGCGTCAGCAATGGGAGTGTACCTCCGTAGGGGCGGATATTTTCGGTAATGGCGAACGCCCCTCCCCCACAGAGCTGCACCTTCCTGGGTTCAGCTGTGCTTGCAGTGAAACTCTCCATCCGGAGCATTTTGAGTTGCCATTTTGTTTGTCCCTGTGGGGGTGAAAGCTGCCGAGCCCGCTCTCCTGGCTCCCTGCCTCAGAGCGCCTTTTTTTTTTTTTCTAAGTTGAACGCATGGCTCTCTCCCAGGTGTTTTGATCACCCACTGTTAGAGCACCATGATCTGTGTGATTTCCTGTGCAGCTAGCCACTGCGCTGGCTCAAACGCCACTTCCCAGGAATCTCCTGGTCTGGCTCACTGTCCAAGTCCCGTTTAATCAGATGGATATGCTAATCTGCCCTTTCAAATTTCAGATTGCCAGTTTAGCAGGGCACCCAGGCCCATGTGTTTTGTGCAGATTTTTGGGGAGTGCCTGTGCTGCAGCGCCGGCTGAAGTGGCCGCAACAGCCGAACCGGCTGCGCTTGCGTCTCGTGTCTTTCCTACACCTGGGACTCTCCCCGTTCTGTGGGCAACAAAGATCTGTCTGGAAATGCGGCTTTGACTCAGCCTCTGAGCATTCGCTGAGAGCTGCGATCCTGAGTTGTTCTTACTGTGCCATCTTGAAAAACCACAAAAATGATTAAATATGAATTTTTAGGGACATTTGCATTTACATAAAAACTAGATACCATTACTCACCTAATTGCATGGTTATTCTCATAATAATAAATGGAGTTTCAATGTGGAAAACCAAGAACTCTCATGCATTGATGGTGGAAATTCAAAATGCTACATGCACAAAATGAGACTTTTTGGCATTTTTAATAGAAATAAAGATATATTTAATATGTGAATTTGTGTTTGCATTCCAAACTATTTACAACACTGATTCAGAAATTGACATTTACAAAGATTTGTTTAGAGGAAGTTCTGTATCAGATTTGTTAATGTGATTCATTCTCTAATCCCTGAAATTTGCTTATAGAACAAATGTTGTATGAAAAATCTCTCAGGTAATTAAAATTTCTCTATTACACATTAGTATGGTTCCTTGTCTAATGACTTAATGTCATTTGCTAAGAAAGTCTTTAATCTAATAATCTTTGTCCTCTCCTCGATTCCAGCACAGCAGCCTCCTCCCTGAGTTTTCTGACACTTTCAGGATGAGGTTCTCACACTGTGTCTCTCACACAGTAATACACGGCTATGTCCTCAGGTCTCAGCTCCATGTAGGCTGTCTTCGTGGATGTGTCCCTGTTCATGGTGACTCTGCCCTGGAACTTCTGTGTGTACTTTGTGTTACCATTACCAGGGTTGATCCATCCCATTTATTCAAGCCCTTGGCCAGGGGACTGTCACACCCAGTGCATAGCATTGCTAGTGAAGGTGTATCCAGAAGCCTTGCAGGAGACCTTCACTAATGACCCAGGTTTCTTCACCTCAGCCCCCAACTGCACCAGCTGCACCTGGGATTCGGCACCTGTGGGGAGGACACAAGAGTGGATGAAAGCCCCCCTTGACTGAGCTCAATTTCCATCTCATTGCTGGGACTTAGGAGCCCTTTACCTATAGCTGCTGCAACCAAGAAGAGGATCCTCCAGGTCCAGTCCATGGTGAGGAGCTGTGCTCACAGGAGCTTCTCTAGAGAAGGGATATGGTTGTTGGGTGATGCTCTCAGGGCACAGACATATCCATATTTACCTCAGTGGATTTCAGGTTATTTGCATATTCATAAGGGAAAGAATTTCATAGGTCAAAGCCAGACCTATGATAAGAAAGGAAAGAAAAATGACACATCAGCCATACAAGAATGAGATGCTGATGGTCCAAGTCCTAATCCTGCTTGAGAAAATGCATGCCCTGCTCCACTTACAAACATTTGTGCTAGAGGTCCTTTCCCTGAAGAATAAGCCCATACAGAACACGCTACTCACTGGAATCTAAATCTGATTACCATGGAGACCACCTGGATGATTTATGGACCCATCACTCTCCATGACACTGAGCAGGTGCCTTAGCCCTATCCTGGACCCGTCAGGCAGCAGCACAGCTCACTGGTGACTCTGAGAAAGTGACTGCTGATGTCCCATGTGAGTGTCCAGCAGGTCCCTCTGAGGTCTGCTTTGAGCTCCTGACAGTGTCTCCAGCACCTGCCTCATGTCCTGATCCTCCAGGTTATTCAACAGAAACACTCTTGGTATACAGACTTTCCCCGTGATGCATAATTAGGGCTGGTTTTCTCATCTCACAGACAATGGGTATCAGAAGATAAAACAGGAGTTTGGATATCTGTATGAACTCTCTACTCACAGAATAATTGTCAAGAAATTTGTGTTTTGAATAATTTTGTGTTAGTTTTTAACTCCATTTATTAGAATTAAATCATTCTACAGCAAGCATGGCTGGGATTCAGCTACGTGGCAGCCCCGGGCCAGGCCTAAACCTGAAACAGGTTCTCTTATTCTTTAAACACAAGATATTCCAATGAGAAATACATTCCCAAGTGAGTTACAGAGCAGGGAGCAGGAAATGGAGGTGTCCTTGGCTTCCCAAATTGCTAAACTTGAAGACCAAGGCAACGCCTGAGGGACAGAGATCCACCTATGAGTACATCACATCAGCTCTGTCTTCAGGAATCTTTGGCTGTGAGGGAGGATAAGGAATGTGATTTATTTCTTTCTGCTCACCCAATGTTCTTCAGAGGAAATGAAACTGAAAAATTTACACATATAAATATATAAACATATATATATATATATATTTGCCATGTTAGGGGAGAGCACATGCATAATTTATGGAAATACAAGTGCTCACTCCATAGCTTGCAGAAGGAGCAAGTGCACAATTGAGAGAAGGAAGCATCCTGCCCCAGGAAGCAGGTGCCCTAAGATTATCCCCTGAGCACTGCACTCTCGTGGCCTCTTCCTCTGAGCTTCATTCGAACAAGGTGTTAATACAAAATTGCAGCAGTAAGTTTACCTGTAACCCTTTGGATAGGAGCCAGTGTTGTTTGGAGTTGTTATCACTATTGCTGTCCCCACCCTTGGAAACCAGAACAATACCTGTGTGGCCCCCTCATCTCAGGCCTAAGATGACCACATTTCAGAGAACACACCTGCTTTCTTTCTGTCACAAACATGGTACTGTATCCTCAAAAGCATGTGTACCTTGTTATAGAATTTATCTTATTAGGTTGCCTTGGATAAAATTAAAATTAGTGACACTTAAATTTTCTTTATGATCTCTTTTTTTATTATACTTTAATTTCTGGGGCACATGTGCAGACCTTGCAGGATTGTACATAGGTGTACACACACCATGGTGATTTGCTGCATCCATTCCCCACATCACCTAGATTAGGTGTTATCCCTCCCCAGTTCCCCCCTGCTATCCCTCCCACAGCACCCCTACCCCCAACAGGCCCCAGTGTGTAATGTTCCCCTCCCTGTGTCCACGTGTTCTCATTGTTCAACACCCACTTATGAGTGAGAACATGTGGTTTTTGGTTTTCTGTTCTTGTGTCAGTTTGCTGAGAATGATGGTTTCCAGCTTCATATCCCTGCAAAGGACACGAACTCATTCTTTTTTATGGCTGCATAGTATTCCACATTGTATATGTGGCACATTTTCTTTATCCAGTCTATCATTGATGGGTATTTGGGTTGGTTCCAAGTCTTTGCTATTGTAAATAGTTCTGCAATGAACATACTTGTGCATGTGTCTTTGTAATAGAATGATTTATAATCCTTTGGGTGTATACCCAGTAATGGGGTTGCTGGGTCAAATGGTATTTCTATTTATACATCCTTGAGGAATTGCCACACTGTCTTCCACAATGATTGAACTAAATACACTCCCACCAACAGTGTAAAAGTGTTTCTATTTCTCCACATCCCCTCCAGCATCTGTTGTCTCCAGATTTTTTAATAATCACCATTCTAACGGGCATGAGAAGGTATCTCAATGTGTTTTTGATTTGCATCTCTCTAATGACCAGTGACCATTAAAATTTAGTTGAGGAGATTTCTGAGCAAAGTGTGAATGGTGTGTTTTGATTTATCTTTGCTCAATGTAATATAATGTGAGAGGAGATCGATAAAAAGGAAACTATTGAACAATGTGGAATCAGGTATTTTATAAGTAAGGAGAATTCTCACATCTTCTGGGAACTGTATAAACTTTCAAAAAATAAAGTAATATTAGGGCATATTTCCATATTCTGGATGCATGCCAATATAAACTTAGATTTCCCTGCAAAGAGATACACAGAAGAGGAACATTCTGCAGCAGATCATTGTGTCGAATGGGCAGCTTTATACTCGTTTGTAATTTTACCTAAATATTCAAAAGATAAACTGCAGACATCCAAGTAGGGCAGGGACTCATGGGAATTCTCAAATGTTCCATGCAATTTCATTGTAATTCTAAAACTGCTCAAAAATAGATTTTGTGATAAGGAGTGACAAAAACATTTGAAAGAAATCTTTGTCACTATTTGAAGAACCATACTTAGTCTTAAAACATGATCAAATAAGCTTGCTGCAAATTATTTATTCCTCTAATTTGAAACCTTGTTCATAGTGCCACCTTCATGGTGTTTGCATCAACTGTATTGAGTGTGGCCTTTCCCACTCTGTGAATTTGGCTTATATGATGACTCTTGAATGGAATATTTCTCTTAAAATGAGAGTGTGCACTTGTTTCTATTGTTCTTTATTCTCAAATATATAACCCATTTTGTAAGCAGCTTTGAACTTAATAACCACTTTTATCTCCACAGCTCAGCACAGCTGCATGCTCCCTGGGGTTTCTGACACTCTCAGGATGTGGTTTTCACACTGTATGTCATGCACAGTAATACACGGCCATGTCCTCAGGTCTCAGGCTTCTGAGCTCCATGTAGGCTGTGCTCATGGACGTGTCCCTGGTCATGGTGACTCTGCCCTGGAACTTCTGTGCGTAGCCTGTGCCATCACTACTAGTGTAGATCTCTCCCATCCACTCGAGCCCTTGTCCAGGGGTCTGTTGCACCCAATTCATGTAGTAGTCGGTGAAGGTGTATCCAGACACCTTGCAGGAGACCTTCATGGAGGACCCAGGCTTCTTCATGTCAGCCCCAGACTGCACCAGCTGGACCTGGGAGTGGGCACCTGTGGGGAGGACACAGGAGTGAATAAAATCCTCTTTGACTGAACCAGGATCCCTTCCTCAGCTTTGGGACTAGGAAGCCCCTTACCTGTAGCTGCTGCCACCAAGAAGAGGATCCTCCAGGTCCAGTCTATGGTGACGAGCTCTGTCCACTGGGGCTTCTTTAGAGGAGGGATGTGGTTGTTGGGTGAGGCTTGCAGGGAACCAACATATCTATATTTGTCTCAGAAGACCTCAGGTTGTTTGCATATTCATGAGGCACGGTATTTCACAGCTTAAAGCCTGATCTAGGGTGAGAAGGAAAACACAGATGCCACATCAGCCATACAAGAGTGGGATGCTGAGAGACCAAGCTCTAACCCTGTCTGAGGAAATGCATCCCCTGCCCCATGTCTAAGCTTTCTATGGACAGCACTCTTCCCACTGAATAGCAAGTCCCACTCTAGGATGTGCTCCTCACTGTGAACCCACATTTTATTGGCATAGAGATTACCTTTGTATCTGGGACCATCACTGTCTCTGACATTGGGCAAGAAACTTGACTCCATCCTGATCCCATTAGGAGCAGTTGGAACTCACTGGTAACACTGAAAAGGTGGCCAATGGTTATCCACATGAGTGTCCAGCAGGGCCCATGGACAGTTCTGAGATCTGGGAACTCCCCAGCACCTGCCTGAGAGTCCTGATCTTCCAGGCCCTTCAATGGAAGGACTTTTGGTTTACAGGTTTGCCCTGAAATGTGTGATGGGTTCTGAGTTTTCCCTCCCACTGACAGAAGAAATCAGGATTTGAAATAGGAATAGGTTTTTTAGTTTTCTATGACTTCATAGGTCCCAAAATAATTACCATGTAATTTGCATTTTGAATAAGTTTGGGTTTTATTTCAACTCCAGTAAATAAAATTATTTAAACTGTTTACATACTTTTAGTTCATATCCACAGATGGTCATCTTTCCATATTGATTTCTGATCCTCTTGGTCTGTGCACCTGCCACATTCTCGAATCTACCACTGCCAAGTCACAGACACAACGTAGGACACATTACCTGGCTCTGAAATCTGAATATCTTATTTATTGGAATATAGTGTCTCCCACAGTTATGTACCTATTGAATTAATAAAACCATCCACATATTTCATATTCTCACTATTAAGATAATTATTATCCTAGAATCCCACTTTTAAATATGGTTCTCATTGCTTTATTAAGTGATATAAATGGTACAGATAAAATAGGATATTTAAATGCATATCAGAAACTTGTGTACACTTATTTTGAATAATTTTTTTGAATAAGGAAGACTCAAGCCCTAAGAGAATATTTCTCATTATTTATCTCCCACAAATAAGTGAGAACATATATTATCTTTTTTCTGTTCCTACATTTGTTTGCTAAGAGTAATGACCTCCAGTTCCATCATGTTCCTTCAAGGGACATAATTTCATTCTTTTCTTAGCTGCATAGTGGTCCATGGTTATATGCACCACATTTTTCTCTGTCTGTTCTGCCAGTGATGAGCATTTAGGTGAATTCCATGTCTATGGTATTGTGAGTACTGCTGCAATGAACCTACATGTTTATATTCCTTTAGGCATATGTCCAGCAAATGAAACTTCTGTTTTAGGTTATTTGAGAGATCACCACACTGCTTTCTACAATGGTTGAACTAATTTATATTCCCACAAGAGATGTGTAAATGTTCCGTTTCTCTCCCGCAACCTTAGCAGCATCTGTTTTTATTTTCTTAATTAGCCATTCTGACTGATGTGAGATGGTACCTCACTGTGGTTTTGATATGTGTTTCTCTAACAATAGTGATATTCAGCATCTTTTCGTATGCTTGTCGGCCACATGTAGGTCTTTTTTTTAAGTGTATTTTTATGCTTTATGGCCACTGTTCTTGTATGTTTGGTTAAGTTCCATTTAGGTTTTAAATATGAGATCTTTATCAGATGTACAGGTTTCACATATTTTATTTCCCACTCTATAGGTTTCCTGTTTACTCTGTTCTTACTATCTTTTGCTATCCAGAAGCTCTTCAGTTTGCTTAGATCCCATTTGTCAATTTTTGATTTTGGTTAAATTGCTTCTAGCATTTTCATCATAAAGTCTTTGTCAGTTCTTGTGTCCTAAATTGTATTTCCTAGGTTTTTATCCAGAGTTTTTATAGTTTTAGATTTTACATTCAGATCTTTAATCCACATATATTTTTTCAATTGATGCTGAAAAAGCATTTAATGAAACTAAACATCCTTTCATGAAAAAGAAAATCCTAAAAAAAGGGTATAGAAAGAACACATCTTGACATAATAAAACTTATATTCGAGAGACTTTCATGTAGTATCATATAGAATGAAAATTAAATAAAAGTCTTTCCTCTTAGATCTGGAAAAGGACAAATTTTTCACTTTAACTGGTGAAGCATAACCCCTTCTGCTGCCACCATAGGCAGCTCTTACCTGCAAGCACCACCTACTGGCATGACGATGAAATTGCATGACCTAATACAAAGTCACCGCCACCAGTGCACAGTACACGAAAATGAGATTCGCGTCTCAGTACTTCTGTGATTCCAGCTCCGCAAAAGACCATGGGCTGCTCACATGCCCAGTATATTACTACTACAACTGGAATTTGAAAAAGCCACCACGCGAAAGCTATTAATACAAAAGAAATCATACAGAGTGGCCAGGCTCCTCACCTGGCCATTTCCATCAAGGCTGCTGCTTTTGATTGTAAGGCTTGGTGGCTCACATCCGTCCAGCTTTGTTTCCCTCTCAGGGGCTGAGCAGAGAACTCAAGTTACTGTACACTGTGCAACAGAGCAGTCCATTGCCTGAGACAACAGAGAACTTTTCCCTGTGCAGATATCGAGCATGACTCATCTATTTCCACCACAGTCAGTAGAATCTGTAGGGCCACCTACTAACTTGAAGGGTGAACTGAATAACCCAATACGAAATCTGCTGAGGCAAATGCATTACAAATGAGAAACAGTTCCTGAGGCCTCCACTATCTAGGACCTGAAGGAGGCTGGGTGACACTGTGTCTCAAAATAAAAAGGAGGAAATTCTAAATTCTTAGAATTATTAGAATAATAATGCAGGTTAAAATTATTTCAGTATCTGGAATATATAACAGTTTTGGTATAACACCAGTGATAAAAATTTGTGGAGTGTTCTGTGTGGACCAAAAATCCGAAAGTGATAAAGTAACAATAATATTTGAATAATCTGGAGATATGATGTGTATTTGGTATTCATCTTTTTCTATTTTTCGATGAAAAGAAAATGGATAGATGAGATCTTCATGTGAAATGGGACACAGAATTTTTAAGATGATTCTCAAAGAAAGTTGCTAACACAGTTACTCACTTGATGTCCCGACACAGGGCTGTGCAGGGGATGGTTGCTGCTGATGGTCACTGGCAGCCGCAGGGTGGGTTTTCTGGCCACTATTTTGTCCATGAGTGACATTGGGCTGTCGTGTATTACATGCAGGTGAGTTTCTAAAGTTTAGATGAGGAGAGAAACGTAAGAACACAGAAGATGGGAAAATTAAAGATCCCACTGCCTCAACCACATTCCACTGAGGAGAACTTGTCACTGAGATCAGGATATGCAGGGAGTAGAGAGGAGTTTGGGGAATATTAAAGAACAGATCCAACCTAGTTGATCTCCCCATGGAAGGAGGGTTTAAATGTTTGTTCACAGATAATGGTGGCTGATATGAAGATTCCCACAGATTTCAGAAACGGTCTCCATTAACAAATGCCATACTTCATTTAGAATTGACTGCCTTTGTGTAATTTATCTTCCCCCTTTAGGCAGCACCACAGAAGAATGTTCTCAGAGTACTTCGTGATCCTGTATGAGTTCCTGGTGCAGGTCCTGGAGGAAAAGCCTGCATGGGGGAGGGAGCCCTTCTCACGTGCAGCCCGGAGGCTGTCACGTCACCTCACCCACCACTGCCCTTCAGTCACTTCATGAATATTTATGAGTTAATCTTCCTGAAACATGGTATTTGGCAGTGTCTTTCCCAGGTAAGACAACACTTACGTTCTATTTACCTGCAGGCGCCTGTCCCTTTCTGGAGCATAGGTTGTGATTGAGTGTGTGATAGTGGATAATCAGTGGGAGGAGGTTTGTGTGCATCTTATCATCTTCTAGAGTGCACCCCTCATGGAGTTGACACTGACAAGCAGGCAGATGGGCTTGCTCAGCTGGAGGATGACAGGTGTTTTTGTAACCTGTGGCCCCATTGAGGCTTTCCCACTGCAAGACCAATCAGGCTGAGGCCTCTGGCTGAAGTGCAGCCAGCAAGGAAGGGGTCCAGTGCCCAACCCTGAGGGCTCCTTCCAGGTGCCAAACCACTTTGTAAGGGAAGCTTTGTTCCTGCCTGGATCCCATACATGTGTTTGCATCTTCTGCACAAAAGGTCTTTATCCAGGAACACCCCAAAGAACTTACAGTGTTTGGAATCCAACTGAAGGGAATTATTCCCAAAGCTTCTCATGACCAGAGTCTCCACTGCTCATTAAATGACATTAATTATGGAATTCACTAGAATCTGCTGGCCTTTCAGTTGCACAGACCTGCCTCTACACCACTGGTCCCTAACATTTTTGGCACCAGGGAACAGTCTCATGGAAGACACTCTTTCCATGGATGATGGTGGTGGGTGGTTACAGAATGAACCTGTTCCACCTGCATTCATCAGGCATTAATTTTTCGTAGGGAGTGCTCAGCCTAGATCCCTTGCATGTGCAGTTCACAATAGAATACGGCTCCTAGGAGAATCTAACTCACAAGTGATCTGACAGCAGGGGGCATTCAGGCAATGATGCTCACAGGCTCCCACTCACCTCCTGCTGTGCAGCCCAGTTCCTAACAGGCTGCACACCTTAAGGAGTCCACAGCATGGGTTTTGGCAACTACTGCTGTAAATGCCTGGAGACCTTACCCTCTGGGAAGGGACATAGAAAACTAGCAGAAAGAGGCTCCCCAGGTCAACATGCAGATGAGTTTCTTAATCTCAGATGAGGAGAGAAACATGAGAACACAGAAGATGGGAAAATTGAAGATTTCACTACATCAACCACATTCTACTGAGGAGAACTTGTCACTGGACCCCTGAGGAAAGAGTGCAAAGGGAAATGGCCCACCCACTTTCCATCTGTTTGGCATAATTTTCAGTAATCCACTTGAAGAACCTGGGATGCTTCAAGATAGATGGGCTTGATACACCAGGGACCACCAGAAAAGAAAATGACCAACTTGTCTGTGCAGGTTCATCCGCTGTAACTGCTTTATGACTCTGGTGCAGGTGTTGACAGCAGGGAAGTCTGAGCATGTGTGGGGCAGGAGTACACGGGAACTTTGCTGCTTCTCCTCAGATCTGCTGTGATCCTAAAACTGCTTTAAAATAAAAAAAAAAAAATGTAAAAGGAAGGGATAACACGTTTTGGAAAAATGTCACCCCTTGTTAGAAATTATATTTATTCCTGCCATGTGATCAAGCAATCCTGTTTCTTATGATTTATCTTTTTGATTTTAAAATTTATGTCTCCACAAAGCCTCCAGGGGAACGTTTGTGTCAGCTTGATTGATTGCTCCCTTTCCCACTCTGTGTTATTTATAGCATGGTAGTTGAAATACCATTTCTATATAATTAGAGTATATACATCTTTCTATTGCCTCTTTTCTTCAATTACTTAACCCATATTCTAAACATGTTTAAACCTCATACGTCCTGTCATCTCAGCCCCAGCACAGCTGCCTTCTCCCCAGGGTTTCTGACACTCTCCAAATATGGTTTTCATACTGTGTGTTTCTCGCACAGTAATACCTGGCCGTGTCCTCAGATCTCAGGCTGCTCAGCTCCATGTAGGCTATGCTTGTGGTTGTGTCCCTGGTCATGGTGACTCTGCCCTGGGACTTCTGTGCATAGCCTGTGTCACCACTGTTAGGGTGGATCCATCCTATCAACTCAAGCCCTTGTCCAGGGGCCTGTTGCAGCCAGCTGATACCATGGCTGGTAAAGGTGTATCCAGAAGCTTTGCAGGAGACCTTCACTGAGGCCCCAGGCTTCCTCACCTCAGCCCCAGACTGCACCAGCTGCACCTGGGAGTGGGCACCTGTGGAGAGGAGACAGTAGAGAATAAAAGTCCTCTCAACTCGAAAAAATTCCCTCCTCAGCCCTGCAGCTACTGCAACCAAGCCGAAGATCTTCCAGCTCCAGTCCATGGTGAAAACTTTCCTCTCTGGGGTCCTCTAGAGGAGAGATATGGGTGTTGCGTGATGCTCTCTGGGCCCAGATGTATCCATATTTAGCTCAGTAGATCTCAGGCTATTTGCATATATATCAGACAGATTACTTCATAGCTCCAAGCCTGACTGAGGATAAGAAGGAGAAGATAGATGACACACCTGCCATAGAGGAGTGGGATGCTGACTGTCCAAGCCCTAATCCTTCACAGGAAATCCATGTCCTACTCCATTTCTGAACTATTTGTGGTTAGAGGTCTTTTCACTGAAGAGCAATCTCCCACAGCTTGTGCTCCTCACTCTGAGCCCATATTTGATTAGCATAAAGACCACCTAGATCACTTCTGGACCATCCCTGTCCATGACACTGAGCAGGTGCCTTGACTCCATCATGGTCCCCTCAGGCACCAGCACAACTCCCTGGTGACTCTGATAAACTGACTGCTGATGTCCCACATGTGTGTCCAGCAGGCTCCTCTGTGATCAACTGGGCGCTCCTGAGACAGTGTCTCCATCACCTGCCTGGTGTCTTGATCCCCAGGCTCTTCAACAGAAACACTCTTGGTTTACAGGTTTGACCTGTGATGCATAATCTGAGATAATTTTCTTATGATATAGGTAGGACTATTCCCATTCTACAGATGAGAAAACTGAGGCTATGAGGTTTAAGTCACTAGTCTGCTCCTTCTTACATTCTGGTTTTTAGAAAATGGTGCCACCACCTATCCAGTCACACAAACCAAAGTCCTATGAGTGAGCTCTGGTTTATCCCTTTCTCTCTCACTTCTCATATCCAACTTACCATTCAGGCCTGCTGATTTTAGTTCTTAAATATTCCTTAGCTTCTGTTTTTTTCCATTGAAATTCTCATTGCAGTTCTTCTGTGAATTACCTCCTGGCCTTCCACCTGTGTGTCTGTGTCCATGTTGTCTCCAGTCTGTCCTCCACATAAGTCAGACCATGTCCCATACCTCCCAGTCCTTCTTAGAATGAGGACAAACCTCCTCACCATGGCCACAGGCTCCTTTCCATTTCTCTGACCTCATGGCGTGCCCCTCCTCTCTGCTCTGCACTGCAAAGACTCAGCGTCTTGTACTGGCCAAGGTCAAGGCCCCCCTGCACCACATAGTTGCCTGGGATGCCAGATCCTCCTTACTTTGCCCACTTACTGCCCACTCATGCTTCTGATCTCAGTCCCTCCCTAGGGGAAAGCTTTCCTGACCTTTGTAACTAAAGCAAAGCCTTCTCCTGGGTGCTCTCATTGTTCCAGAGACCTGCCTGCACAGCACTTGTACCAGTTAATTCTTTACATTAACTTGAGTGACAGATACCTTAGTGTCTGCTGCTGCCTCCCAGGAATGAAGCCAGAAAAGGTAAGGCCCTATCTGTGTGCATTTCTACAGTCTAGTGTGCTTAGTGAGATATTGTTTAATAAGAATGAGTTGGACATGACAGCATGGCTAGAAAGTGATGCATTGAGGATTTAAACATACTTCTTTTTGGTTCTAGAGACTTTTCTGTTAACACTATTCACTTTTGTGCATTGTCATTTTAGGACTGATAAGGGTACTTTATGCTAAGATCAAATATATTTTGGATCCATCAGATGAAGTTTGATAAATGTGGGTTATTAAGAACCCACTGATAAGCAGAGCTGCCTGACCAAGATTTCCAGATTTTGCATCAAAGAGAAATGTAATGAAAGTGGGCTGATGGGAGGGAGTGGAGGGCTGAAAAGTGAAGCAGGAACAGCTACTTCAATAGTGCCCTTGACCCTGCCTTTCTCTGTTCTTCAGTCTGGCTGAAATTGACCACCCTGAGTGCGTTCAGATAGTGATAAATTATCTCCGTCACACTGTGTGTGTGTGTGTGTGTGTGTGTGTGTTGGGCTGTGTACAAGAGAGGCAGCTTCTGTGAATAAATGAAGCCTTGTAATTAAGGAATTTGTTGTAAATGGCAAGATGCATCGGTGCTTGGTCCTTAGTACTCCCTGAGGCCACATTTCCTTGAACTGGCTTGTATTTGCCACTGACACTACTAGCAGCAGGATGGAGGGGAGGAAGGGAGACACCAGGTGTTGCAATGCTTAGCACCTGCTTTCAGCTCTGCTACAAACTGAAACACTGACTGACTTTGGTTAACCCCCTAACCTCTTTGAGCCTCAGTTTTCTCATCTGAAAAAATCGATGATGGTTTGAATTCCTTTAAAATCTGACATTCAGTTTTCTCTTTCCACTGTGGAAGCTCTGGGAGCTATTGTTCTACTGTCTCTGGTGGCCGTTATGACTTCTGCATTATCAAGGGGCCCTCTCTAACCTAAATAACCCCTCAAGGAAATTAAGTTTGTAATCATTTCTGCCTGGTAAGCGAAATGACAAGAGGAAAAAGCTAGTTGTCAATAGCCCTGTGGATGGCAAATTAATGGGATCTGTGCAAACACTTGCTTATATAGCCATAATTTGCCTTTCGTTTTCCTTTGCAACTCAGAAGAAAGTGAATAATTTTCAAAGAGCCTCTCATTGAACATATTAAAAAAAAAACATGTCATTGGCAAAAGGGGCATTTGGTTGCTTGATTACCATATATCTCTGAGTATGTGGAACAGTTATTTTTAGCTGGGGGTAATTAGCTGAGTAGAAAGCTGAAGAATCTTGGGGGCAGAAAAATCTTTGTATGTCTTATGTTGGCATGGAGAAAGCAAAGCGAAAGGGCAGAGTATAAAAGGTCGTTAAATAACTAGATAAGGGGTCAGCTGCATTTCCTCTGGCTACTCAGAGGTGAGCCCCTAAAGCAATGGAGACAACACTGTGGGTGGGAATGTGTTTGCAGGGTCTAATTAGTTTACCCAAGCAAAGTACAAGAGAAAGGGCTAAAAATATGTAGATTGTAAAATTCATGGCTTCATTTGCTCTTCTTTGCCTTTTTAAAACCTTATAGTAGAACAATTTATAATCCTTGAAACCTTTTTGCTACCACTCTTGTCAGCTTGTCTAAGGCCACCGTAACTTATCAGCTACTGGGGAAAGTTGTTTAAACTCGCTAAGCTTCCTTTTTTCCCACTGGTTCACTTAGGGGCACTAATTCCTGATTTTTCTGCCTGAGTTATTGTTTTTCAGATCCCATAATTGTTTGCATATGTGCTCTATAAGATGAGTCACCTAGCGCACGTTGTGGGCAACCTCAGGTGTAGAAGTTAGGACATCTGTGTGCCTGGATTTGGCTGTTACTATCAAGATGGAACGGGGAGGAAGGGCAGAGTAGACAACTGTAGAATTTTTCTGGATTCTTTTGGTTTCTCCAGAAAATGACACTGTTCTTATATTTAAAGATAACTATCTGCCTAGGCATATGGAAATTCTAAGGTTGACCCCGCTTTGCACTGATCCTAGGGCAGGGTTTCAGGATTGCTGGAGCAGCATCATCCTTTTACCTTATAGATTTCAGTCAACAGGCTGCTCATGGCCTCCTCAGTGTGCAAGAATCTTCTTACTGATGGTGGGCGTCAGTGGGCGGGACTCACAGTTTCCATCTCTTAGGCTGGGCAGGCCCATGGTGGCAATGGTAAAAATTTAATGGGAACATACATCAGAAGTAATAAGAAATCCATCTTCTTAAAGCCTTCATAGGAGATTTCCTGAAGATTTATAAAAGGCACTTCATTAATCAAATGACTCTGATGTTTCCCCTCACTGGAAGAAATTCAGGTCACCAGCCCACTTAAAATCATTGTGTTCTCCTTTTGCAGTAACCTCTGCTCATATAATTTCTTTATGGCATATTATATACTATTTAACTTAATATCCTGATTAGTGGAGCTAGCAAACACTCAGTATCACTATAAACTGCAGTATCATAACTGACTTCCTTTATAAATCATCTAATGTTTCTTTAAAATCACTGGTGCTTTTGTAAAGTAGTTCATATTTAGGAATATGAACATTTTATAATGCTGGAAAATTATTTGAATTCCTTTTCATTTAAAACCTATAGCTTTTTATTTAATCTAGCTTTCACAAATATTTCATTTTCCCACTATAGAAAAATCGAGTTTAGGGATAAATGTAAAGTCACTCATAGCTCCACCCAAAAGTCAACAACTCTTAATATCATTATTTTTGTTCTCGTTCTCAGCATTTTTGCTGAATCTATGTTTCGTATAGTTTCATCATATGTCAGAAAAAAACTATATGTATGAGTTTTAAAATAATATATTTTAATTGTCATAAATGAAATACACACTTAATATGGTATGATTATGACATATAGAGAGATATAACAAAGAAAATTAAAGTCATTTAAAATCTTACCAAATCTAATAACCATAAACATTTTGATGTATTTTCTCAGAATATTTTTTCCTATGCCTTTTATATTTTCTTTATTATCGAGTACTTCAAGCATATAGAAAAGACAGAAAGTAATATAAGAAGCAATGGAAAATTTTAAAATACGGGTATTTTTCTTCATGTGTTTCAGATTGTTTAGTTTTGTTGTCCCTTGCCCTCCCCACGTGTCCCTTTATTTTCTTGGCAAAACAAAGCATTACAGATACAGTTGCAGCTTCCTATACTCCATTTTATCTTTCTAAAAGTTATTGGTATTGAAATGTCTACCTCTGGTCTACTTACTTTCCCTGCCGAATAATACTTTACCATATGGAAATACCACGATGTACAATTACATGCATAGTGCCATATACATTTACTTACAGGTTTCTTGGGAAGAATCTCTCTTACTGTGTTCCCAGAAGAGGGATTGGTTAATTGTAGGGGAGGCTTGTCTTCATTTTTACTATGAATTTCCAATTGTTTAAAGTAGTTGTAACAATTTGTATTCCCACAGGAAATGTGGGGAAACTTGTTTTGTGTTTGGCTTCACTTGATATTTCTAGGATTTTACTTTTTGTTTGCCAATCCTATGAATGTAAAATGGTATGTTTTAATTTATATTGTGCACACACTTTATTATTCGGGACACATGTAACCTTCCTCATGCACAACTGTCATGGATTTGTTTTCAATTTAACTCATTTATTAAGCACGGAAAATTGCCAGGTTTCTCAAAGATGGCGATCAGGGCTGCTGATGGATTTGCTGCATTAGATCTACCCTCTCCAGCTCTGGCCCTCTAGTGTCAGTATTTCTGCCTTCCAGTTATAGTGCGTCCTCTTTTCAGGTTCTGGGAACATTCTGGCTGTAGAAATCAGTTGCAGTAATTGGAAGGACTTTTATTAAAGTGACTTACTTGTCTTCTTACCTAGTAATCATGCAGACTGTAAAATATATTTATGAAAAAATTCAAGTTATATACAAAACCAGACACTACCAAAGCATATGCAAAGTTCATAATCCCTTTTATTTTTCTCTTCTTCCTCTTCCAATATATAACCACTTGTAGAGAGCCCCTACTTTTTTTTTTGTATTTGTGTTTATGCCCAAATGCAATGAATATTCTCTAACGTATCTCCTTGGATCCATGAGAAGAGGGTGAATGTAATTTTTAAAAATTAATATTATATATCTACATCAGCACAGTATTGCATTATACAGAAATAAGAGGACTAATCTAACTCTTCCATGGACATTTAGGTTGCTTCTAGTTTTCTATTATTTTAAACAAT